GACGACAGCAACGAACAGCATCTAAAACCTGTTCCGGAACATTGCTAACACAACTGGACATCTGGCTCGAAAAAGATTCATTTATTCTAATTTTGGATATGCGGTCTTTAGTCCGACCTTGTCCGTCAAACATGGCGGCTTGAAACTACAAGTGAGCGCCCCAAAAATCTAACAGTGTCTTTGGCTTCATAGAGAAGGACAATCACATTTTTTTCTGCCTCGAACAAAGCCCATTTATTTTAGTGCTTTCCATTGGAAGCGCGACGTGATAACCTCTGCTCTGCAAACCACCAACTGAGAGTCATTTGAGACAAAGCGCCGCATCCATCCCCTTATCACCACATGCAGCCTCACCACAAATGCAACCACCCACCCCTCCTGCCCCGAACCCAGGCTACCGCCGCGCCACCCGTACTGTTACTGATGCTGTCCTCTCTTGAGACGTCTTTAGGGATGCAGAAGGGCCTGGGTCTTCATTTGATAGCATAGCAGGGAATGCTCAGTGAGTAACCTTAACTGGTCTTACCATCCATCTCACTTGCAATTACTGTATTCCAGGCCAAAACATGAACATGCAGTCTTTTTCTGACTTGGTCACCGTGCAGAAATCAATCCATCTGAAGCGACCAATGTGGGCAGCATGCATCAGTAACAAAGAGCATCAAATAGCTGCAGCTCATTCAGAATGGTTTCAATTTTGGGGGGGAAAAAAAATGCTCTATTTTTTATCAGTATGCGTATACATTTTATTCATTTATTTATATAATGCATAATTATCGGATATTGGTTATTGTAATACAGATTAAAGTATTGATTGCGGGCAGACGGCCATGAAAAAAACTAACCGCAATGTTAAATGTAAATCGCTATATTGAGGGGAAAGCCCCCCCACCTCTCAGTGAAATTATTCCTCAAAACGGTGGAGCTGTTGTTGCCGCACCGTCTTGCATGCACGATTCTTCTTTTCAAACCACAGCAAAAATCATTCAGATAGCTTAAAGGACTTCCCCTTTATTGCAGCCCATGACTCCACCATCTCCTTGCTGTCGTGAAAGCCTCGTTGATGACATGATGACCATCCATCTGGCATTCATGATCGAATACAACTCTTTTGAGTATCCGTCTTTATGGCTTTCTGAACAAACGTTTCTCCTCGTGAGCATTGGTTAGCTGGCGGTAGGCTAAAAAGCTTCGCGCGGTGACTGCAAGCCTTTCAAGGATCCTGTTGTAGTTTTGAGAGGTTCTCCAAACATAACAACTCTTCGGTTCTTCCGCTACAACAACAAAAATAAAAGGTCAAATGCAAGTGAACTGAGTCATCGACACACTTTGCTCCCAGCTGACAATAAGGCTTGAACAAACAAACTTGTGTTGATGATAGGAAAAAAAAAAGAGCGAGGCCCAGTGCAGTATTGCAAATGAGTATACCATCAGTGTAATCAGAGGTTTGGAAAACAGGAGTCCCCTAGCGAAAAAGAAAAAAAGCCTGATCCGACAGTGTGGGCCGTAGCCTTCCTCCTGTATAATCATCATCATTTAACACAGTATGCGCGGCCTATGTTTATTGCGATATTAATCCGGGATAAACAAAGCTTTTGACAAAACAAATTAACATCTCTCAATAGAAAGCGCGGCGCTAATGGAGCCTTCCGAGACTGATATTAAAAAAAGCGGATGAGACGAGAGGAGAAACGGGAGCTCGGGAAGGTGATGGGAAAGACAAAATCAGGCCCAAGGTGCCTAAACGGTGTTTCACCCCGAGCTCTAGAGATCAGCATCAGCACATCATAACACGGGAGCTAATTGTGGTGATTATGCTGGTAATTAGGCTGCCGACGAGGAGAGCGGATTTTCGGCACCGTCTGATAACGACGCGTTCATTTGCTGTCAACTGACCAGGGCCACATTTGCTCCGCATAGCGAGGGCTCCCTTGCAAATCTAATTTATGTTCTATCATAGCTCTATTGCACATGTACCCTTTCGCAACATGAATAATTAAGGTGGAGGGGGAGAGGGGGGGTTGGCTGGTTTTACTTTTTTTTTTTTTTTAAAGCAACAAATAAACAAACAAGCAGAGCAGCAATGATGCAATGGTGGATTTAGCCACAAGCTTCATTTTTGAATTATTTACAAGCTCCTCAGGTTTTGGGGCAAATGATTAAATATGAATCATATCTTAAAAGGCAACACCTATGATGGATTGTTTGGAGCCAAAACGATAGTATGAGAATAAATGGCAAGAAATTGAAGTGTGACACGATATGAGTCACTGGTGGGAATAATGTGGTGAAAATAAAGTCAGAATATGACAGGAGAAACGTTTTCGTTTTGTGAGAATAAAGTTAGTTGTAGTATTACAAGAAAAAAAAGTTTGAAAATGTGAGACTACTGTATATAATTACAAGAATAATATCGTGCTTATGGGAGGAGAGTCCAAATATTACAAAAATGAAAAAAGTGGCAATTCTGTGAGAATAAGGTTGGAATATTACAAAAGGCGTACATATGTGAAAAAAAATTCCATCTAATTATTCGAGAGAAAAAAGTTGTAGTTTATGAGGAATTCATAATAGTATAAGAAGAAAAGTTAGAAATTCATGTGAATAAAGTTGTAATATTAAATGATAAATAAAATATTTTTAAAAAATTATTTTGGTCCGGAAAAATAGTTGTCATTTTGTTTGAATAAAGTTGTCATTGTACATTCAAAAAAATTCTATTGAGGATGAAGGCCTGGTTAAAAAAAAAAGCAAAAATAAACTCACACAAGAATCAGTTGTAATTTCGTAAGATAGTCATATTCCCTAAAATTATGATAAAATTGGTGCCGTGAGGATGATGGTAATGTACATCTGCAGTAAAGTGAAGACTGTTGAGTAATAAACCATAACCATTTTTCGACCCGAATACTTCTATTATTCAGGTAGGTCTCAAAATATCAAGACAAATCCTTTTTTTTTTTTTTTTTTTTTTTGGGTTTGCTTTTAACCCTACCCGTGAACCGCTTTCCTGAGTGGGGCAGCAGATGCATCTAGTTCCTGCTTACGTTCCAGCCACATCTTCCACTTAAAAAAAAACAGGATGTGAGTTCAGGGAGAGCAATGGTAAGAATGAATCAAATGTGAATAAATATTTTAGGGACAGACAAAAAATAAATAAAATAAAACTATTGCAAAAGGGAGATAAACAGAGCTGAGAAGTCTGTTCCGAAAGGTCAGCGAGATTGTGGTTGGACTGGTTGTTCTCCCGCCTCTCCCCTGACAACTAATTTCTCTCAAATGTATCACTTGCACAAGTGCACTGAAAAACACGTTTCTCCCTCCGCTCTTATCTTGCGCCGGTTCCTCCCTTTCATCTTGTACCTGAATGCACCACGGTGACCGAAAGGGCTTCTTACAAATGTGTGCTGGCAATTTTAAAATGTCTTCCTAAAATGGAAAAAAAAAAAGGGCAAGAAAAACCACACTCAATCATGTTAGACATGAAAGACTCAAGTACGGCAGAAAAACACATCGTTCATGCTTAAAAATACAAGAACATTTGCGTGTTGTCCTTCATTTTTGTTTTGGTCAATTTCTTTTTTTCATTGATGAGGTTTTAATGATTTTAAATTAATTTTGGTGTTTGTACAAGCGTTCAGAAGACGTAAGGTCTATCAGTTGTTGAGGAATTTGGCTTGACTTTTATTGCAAAATACTATTTATGACTTTTTTTCCCCTCTTGTGCTCAGCAAATACACAATATACTGAAAAAAACGAAAACTCATAAAAACTAAACTCAAACTAAGCAATTTTGAAAAAAAATAAATAAAAATAAACGGAAAAAAAATCTGCACTGAAAACAAACCAAATTTGAAAAAAAAAAACAAAAGCCAAAACGAAAAAAAAACCCAAAAATGAAAGATCCCAACCTATTATATATTACAAATGTCAAGGCTCTTGTACCCAAATAATATTTTCAATGTGAACATTAAATTGTGATTATCCATAAACTTTCAAATGTACTGCTTTACAAAAACAAAAAAAGAAACGGAATCATTTATCTTATTTATTGATGTGCATTTTCAATGTTTCTTATGTTAAAATGCTTTCACTGCCTTACAAGATAATGACATTCACCAGAGCCGAACCCGAATCTGACTCCTCCCGTTTTTGTCGACCCAAAGCAGCCACGATGCAACGTGTTTTTACGTGCCGGCCGGGCCAGAGGTCACAGACTTCAGCATACACATTCATATCACACAACCACACCTGCCATTCATCCACAAAGCTTCACGACACCAAACACAAAAAATTGCAGGGTCACAAACTCCCTCCCCCAAAAAGAAACGTTTTATTTTTCTCTTTTGTTGCAAGTACAAGAAGTCATTTCTCATTGCGTCTGTTACCTTTGTTGCTTTTGATCATCCGGCCGTCGTCCCTATTTATTTACACGGTAGGAATAAAGCGGAATCACGCTTGCAGGTTTTCGTATGTACACGTAGGTTTATAGTGCTGTCGGTCACAACCACACACAGGAGACAAAAAAAGTCCACTTCGGCTGGCTAGGCTCTAACACAGCAAGTACAAGAGGAGCGCGGGGTGGGGGGGGAGCGCGACACACTCCTCGGGATGCAAATCCAAAGTCAACAAAATGAATACTCTCAGCAAAAAAAGAAAAAAAAATGATAGCAAGGCAGTCATGTTTTGGAATGCCTAAAAAGCAACCAGGCAGAGAAGGGCAGCGGGTGGAAAGCTTCTGGGAGGTGAAATGGGGGCACCTCCACCTCTGATCCAGGAAAAGAAGGCAAACTCCTCTGAATTGTCTTCAACTGAAGATGGAGAACTGTTTTCACTTGGATTGTTCAATAATGAGCACTTCTGGATATGTGAGTGAGCGTGTGTGCGTGCGCGAGTATGTGTGTTTGACTTTCTGTTGTTCTGGCTCAAGAGAGATTTTTTTTTCTTTTTGGCAACAATGAAGAGCTTTTCTGTAAGACATTTTTTTTTTGTTGTTGTTGTTGCTCCTAATGGCGTTCTGGACTCCGCTCGTCTCCACAGCTAACTAGCAAATGATGGTCGGTACGAAAGGGTAAATAACGGAGCAAATACAAAACAATAGTCTCGTGTCCAGAAACATTACAGAACTTTTGTTTGAGCAAAGTATTGAGAGTTCCTAAGGGCGGGTAAGAAGAGTGGCCAAGGGGTGGGGGGTCGGTACATTCAGAGTGCTGGACTTGGTCCAAAGGATCCGGGTGGGACTCAGCTTGGATCGATGCTCTTTAAAAAGTCAAAGGCGTCTTCTGGGGACCTGAAGGTCACTCTGTTTGTCTCTTTTACTGTTCGGGTCAAAGTTAAGAGAAAAAAAGGCAACCAAACAAGCAGGAAGTGGGCCGGCGCGAGAGCGACGTAGGCTAGAAGGCAACTCTGGCCCTCACTCGAGTCCCCGAGCTTCCTTTTGCGTCTCCGGTCACAGGCTGGTGACCAGCTGCATCTGTCCGTCGCCTTCGTTGTGGGAAGCCTCCTGAGCCTGGTGGACAGGCTCCCCGCTCGGCCTCCTCGGCTGGGCCTGGTAGAAGGTCTGCATGGGGGCGCCGCGAGAGCCCAAGGCGGGCCTCCCGGAGCTGTAGTACAGTTCTTCGGGGGGCTGGGCCGATCGGGGCACCACCTCCAGGGGCTCGGGACTGCTGTCCGGGTAGGGAGAGTCTCGCAGGTTGGTGATGCTGGTGTACAGGGAGTCCCGGGTGGGCGAGTCGGGCGCTCTGTTGCCCGTCTGCCCACTAGAACTCTGACCGCTGTGGCCGAGACTCTCGGTGAGGTCGGCCGTGAAGCTCTCCGACTCCTCCGGGTCGCTCTGGTAGAGGACGGACTGGGCTCGCTGTAAGAGTAGCGGCTCCTCCAGAGCTTTGTAGAGCAGCTCCACATCCTGCGGCGTGCGCTGCCTGCCATCCATCAGAAAGTCATTGTCACCCGACTCGGGCCCGGCTGCTCCTCGAGGGATCCCCCCGGCCATGCTTCCGCACACCCTGTCCCCGGCGTCGCCCCCGGCCACGTTCCCTCCGCCCACGCTCACGCACCCGCCTCGCAGGTTGTTATGCACCAGCTCAGAGATAATCATCTTCTCAAAGGCCGCCGCATCGGAGAGATTGCGCTGGACGCCTCCCCCGCCGCCGCCCAGTGGTTCCGAGCTGCGTGGGTTGAGCAGCGGTGGGGGGCTGTCTCCACCCCCGCCGGTGCTGCTCAGGAAGTCACAGCTGCCACCGTCACCACCCCCTGGGCCAGCACGCAGGGAGTAGCTGTTGTTGAAGTTGCCGTTCAGCGGCAGCGTCTCCATTCCGCAGGGGTCGCGGGCCTTGGATGGGATCTCTGCATCCAAACACAGGAGAGAAACCAGTTTGGACATTGAAGTCTATGAGCTCCGAGCTCAAACGGAAGGATCAAAGACACTTACTTGGGTCTCGGAAAGTTCCTGTCCATCCAAAGGAATGCCGTGTGAAGCAGATATAATGAAAGACGGGAAGTGTCATTTAATGCAACATTAACTTGATCAATTCATTTTTAAAGATTTTTAAATGGCCACCATTAAGGGAATGAAAAATCTATCAGCCTCTTCAAAGATCTTTGCATCTCCTTCTCCTTCTCGGGAATGAACATTTCAGTTCAGGCACTGACTTAGGCCAACACAGATATTTTCCATCCATACATCCATCTATCCATCCATTATTTGAGCTGCTTATCCTCACAAGGGTCGCGGGCGTGCTGGAGCTGATCTCGACCCTGAACAGGTTGCCAGCCAATCACAATGCACACATAGACAGACAACCATCCGCACTCACAAACACACCTCAGGACAATTTAAAATGACCGATTCACCTACCGGGCATTTATTTTTTTTAATGTGGGAGGAAACTGGAGTACCTGGGCAAAACCCACGCAGGCACAAGGAGAACATGTAAACTCCACACGGGAAGCTCAGAGGTTGGAATTAAACCCATGATCTCTGCCATGGATGGTTTTGGCTTTTCGTCCACGATTACCTCCTTAAGTGAGCTAATTTTCTTGGTTGGTTTTTGGTCTTTGGGGTTATGGTGCCACTCTGCATGGGCCAGTTATTTACAAGTGTGCCATCCATCACTCCTGGACAAATTCAAGGTAAAATTCCAATCCCGCTGTATCGAAATGAACATTTACAACAAGCTACGAGAGTTAGCTTGTCTACAATTAGTGGAATAAATACAATAGACTCGCTACTGAGACAGACAATTAGCTAGCTAGCATGGTGAACATCAGTTCATTTCCTGTATGGCATTACTTCCCAAAGCGGAGAAGGACAGAGAAGATACACAGTCCTTTAACCAAGCTATGGAGCACGTTCAGTGAAAATCAAAACCTTGTAATCTTACCAAACGTTTCAAAAGTTGAGAGCTGTGATTGCAATACCAGCTGTGATATTTTTGCTCACAGTTATATACCGTCCGAATATTATGCCACCTCCCTCTTTGGGATTCTTTTGGAAGCATGTGAAGAGAGTTTCACGTGCTTTGATTTGCTTTTACTGACCAAAGACAGGTCAATTAAAGATTCCCGCGTGTCTATGAACAAAACAAAAAAGCTGTCCAGCTAAATACCGGAGCAGCACTTTTTAGCAGGCTTTTACTTCGGCAGTGACACTGCAGTGTAATTAGACATTGTAATGAAGCGCTCTCCTCTTTACTTCCTCTCCTCTAAAAATGTCGGCGGCTGTCAGGCCTTGACATATTCGTCGGGCGAAGCGTTGAAATATTTAATAGAGACGCCGCCTCGCATTTCAGCCGCTGGACGATGGTCAAGATGTTTAGTGCGCGCCTGCGCTGGCAATGAAGCCAGAGAGTCAAAGTTTGATCCGATTGTTCTTGAAGCGTCACCTGCAGTCACTCCGGGGCACTCCGTCTGGTGGTATGCTAACCAGGCTAACAGTCTTCGGTTTAGTTCTTTCTTTGGCATTTTGCCCGGCAACAGCAAATTGTCAGCACGAATATTTGTCAATATTGTGCCAAATCAATGGAAATGTAAGACCTAAGTTACCCACTATGAACAATTTTTAAAAGGCTTTTGGTAAAAAGAAAATGTGCGTGGTGCACCAGATAGTGTTGAATTAAAAATGAATTTTGAAAGGTGACAGAAAAGTTCAAGAAAACGGCATTGAAAATATTGCCTGTACAGTTCATCAGTGTTTTGAGAGCTGCTTTGATTTTAACTGTTGACTTTTTATTTTGTAAGATTAAAATTTGATTGGAAACATTTTTTTGTTCCAGTAGAAGGTTAAATGATGACCCTGGAACATATTGATTCTATTTTAATAATTACATAATTTTTATGTTGACTTTTCACAGTGGTCCACATTTATTTTACACTTATAATAAAATGTAAATAATAATAATAATCATCAAAATAATAATAACCGAGACTTCACATTATGTCCAACTGTTGTTCACTAATTGTTTAATAATGATAAAAATGTTATTTTGCACATAGTGTGTACAGTTTGACTAGGAAACATACTGTATTCTATTACCATTTCTTTCTGTATGAATGAGATTAAATTTCATCCTGAAATTGCAGCAATGCAGTGCGTAAACTTGCAGTAAAGCGTCATCAAAGTGTCAAGAACTGTGCTGCTTTCAGAGGTTGGGTTTGATTAGAAAAAAAACTCCGCCAATTTTTGCCAAACCTCGCTTCAGTAAGGGACCAATTCTTTTTACGCAACATTCTTCTTTGGCTTCATTATCCTGCTTAGCGACGGGGACAAGCGTTCCCCTTCGCGATTGCTGGCAGTCAAAGTCGAGATGAAACTTCACTCATCAGATTGCGATTCGAGACGAGGCCAGATGGCAAAGTCAGGCTGTTTGTTTTTTTGCGCAGCCTGGTTGGATCCATTTGACAGTTTATGCACGGCACACGTCGCAGAAGGCGACATGACGTTTCCTTTGTCTACTGTGGGCAAAATGAAGAATGAGCTCGCCGATGGATGTTTTTGAAAATCTTATTGGGATGGGAGACGTGCTCTCTGTATGTTGTGAACCCGTGCTTCCTTCTTAGTATTGAACAACGTCCTCGGAGCTACGTACAGTTTATATAACTAACGATTAATCTCTCAACTATATGGGCAATTAATACGATATTGCTCGGTCATTGTCGTGTTGCATGATGAAGTCTCTCTCTCGCCCTTTCTCTCTCTCTCTCATTTCTTCACAAACCTGTGGAGTTGAAGACGCCGGGTGAGGGCGGGGTGAAGCTCTCAGCCAGCAGCGTGTTGTAAGGAGACGTGCCGCTACGAGTCTGCAGCACCGGGTTGGCCAAAAGGTGGTTGCCCATGGCTGCTGTAATATGGCAAGAAAAAAAAAAAAAAATCATCCTCTTCCATCATCAAAAAATGGGCTCTTTGCATTGAATGCATGCAAATCGAGCCCAGTCGACGGCGCCGGGTAATAACACGTGGAACGACGCAAATGTTTACAGCTGCTCCAAACGGGGCTGTTTTTTGTTACAGCGGTATTTTATGGAGTCATTTCACTGCCTCCTGATTGTAACCTTTGAGTACAAAACACAATTGAAAGGCAAAGTTACTGTTTGCGGGTATTGCCATTTGTTTCCCTTTGACTCTGAACAGTGCAGACAGGAGGGGCGGAGGAGGGGTGGGTGCCGGGACCAGTAATGCATGCTATTATTCAGTCCCGGAGTGCAGCCATTGAAACACAGTTAATTTTACACTGAAAATGTGAATGCCACCAAAAAGATAAATAGAAGTGAAAGCACAGGGAGGATGTTGTGCAAAAGGCCCGAGGAAACCGAGAGCAGAAATGCCATGAAATTAAAAACAGGACAGCATGACGGAAGAGCGCACAGACGCCAAGTGCGGGCTGCAGGTATGGACTGCCCCAGCCTTCATCACGTGGAAAATAAAAATAAGCACTCACGCTCAGCTATTTAATCATCATTTCCCCTCCTCCCTCAAAGCCTCTGGCAAAACTCGTTGTCGCCCGCTTTCTACTTTCGTTGGCTTGTTCTCTTATGTCGCTTCAACCGCATTTTTGTACTTCCTTTCGCCAGACCCCCCCAAAAGAGGCAAACACCACCGAATTAATGTGGATACGCTCCCTGTGATGTCCTCTTAGGAATACCCGAGCCACCAGATTGAAGCGGGGAGCAAAAGTAGGGCAAAGGAAATCATTTGTGCGTGTATGTGTGTGTGTCATGAGCACCTTGCTTCCAGGACACAACAGAAAATTGTTGTGCGTCACAGACACAGTCAAGTGGCAAACTCAAAGAGATGAAAAAGCGTGGTAATTATCGTTCCTTTTTTGAAATAAAGGGCTTGCCTCTCTACGTTACACCATCTCTACATTCCTGTCCTATAAGTCAGGTCAGCTGACAGCGTTTTTTTTTTCTGTCACTGGTCCCACACGATGGAACGACCTCCCCATTGCATATTAGAAAAGCCCCATTCGCTGACCATTAATCGGGCCCGCCTTTGAACCTGTTTTTATCACTCAAAGCACAGGTGTCAAAGTCAAGGCCCGGGGGCCAGATCCGGCCCGCCACATCATTTTATGTGGCCCACGAAAGCAAATGATGATCACTGCTAAAACCTGTACCGAACTGTTCAATTGTCACGTGTCATAAATCATGTTGAAATGTTGTTCGCCTCGTTCCACTTATCTCAACAATAATTGAGCAACAACAAACAAAAGAGTTAACTTGGGTGATTTCAAAACTAGTAATACATCCATTTGTTGTGTACGAGTAATAGTACAGCGAGAAACATTTATTCGTAACAGCCCTCCGAGGGAAGACGGAACTCCGAAGTGGCCCGCGACAAAAAATGAGTTTGACACCGCTGCCTCAAAGCCATGAACCTTTATTTTAGTGTCTCATTTGCTTTTATTTTTTAAATTACATTTTTTTTAAAGATTATGACTGGTTTTATTGTTTTTAATTAAGTTATACGCAATTATCTGTTTCTGTTCCATTATGATTAAACTTTGTTTCAACTGTGGTTGTTGTTAAAATGCCCGGGGTGGCAGAAAAGTGGATGACTACTGTGGTCTCGAAGTGAATGTAACCCAAATGTTTTTTTTTTTTGCTCTCAAAGGTGTACATCCGTGCCATTGATCCGAGCAAATGAAAAGTCACTTAATTAACCATTCCCTCAATGAGCATGTTCACGATGACTGAATTTCCATTCCATCTGCTTTTGAATCAATTTACAATTGAAATCTAAATCACAGCCGGCTTTGGCTCTCTATTGGGAGCGATTCACTTCATACAATTTCAAAGTTGGGCAGTAAAGAAGGCCGTTAAAATTATCATTCAAGCCCGTTTTCTCAATTGCTCTGCCTTGGTGAAATAAAACAGGAGCGTGTATTTACTCGCGGCACCATCTGGAAGCACATGTGACGTCATGGCGAAAAGGTCTACGGTTCCTGAAATGGTTCCAGCTTAACAGCTTTTGTGACACGCTGCTAAATTTCCATCAGCGCACTGTGGTGCGCAAGAGAAGGAAAACTCACCACGGTTGAGCGTGGGCGTGCTGTTGATATCCCCCGCCATGAAGGAAGACTCCGTCTGCTTCCGAACCGTGTCGTTCCACATGCGGCGGATCCGACTCTGAGGGAAGGAGCAGTGCAGGGTGAGGAAAAAAAAAAACAAAAAAACAACAGAAACGTGTGCTGGATGTGAGGGGACTTTTATAGCTCAGCAGGGATGCTGTAATCACAACTGCGCTGTTTGCCATAAGCCACAAAGAAAACAAGATACGCAAAGAGACGACTACAAGGCAATGTCATGTCATCAAGAGAGGGTCAAATAACTATAAGATGTGCCATACATGATTGCAGTAGCTGATATAGTCCCATTCTGAAAAACACTGTTTATCGCCTGGTAGTATTATTTCCGATGCTGTGAGTTTCCTGATTGCTGTTTTGCACAAATAGCAGGCAGAGACCAAAAAATAGGTTTAGCAAGGAAAATGTCTTGGTCTCTCTTACACACCCACACACACACAGACACACATTAGACACCTCTTAGTACATTCACAACAATGCCACACATTAGCATTTGCATTGTGTTAGCATTAAGCGAAACCGACTTATCAAAACCACGGTCTAATTCTCCGCCAAACGTGGCAAAAAAAAAAAAGGAAAAAAAAATAAATGAGCGAGCGCGTGCCATGCAAAAAGCATGCGCAAAGTGCGTCCGTCTTGCCTGCACCTGTCTGTGGGCCGCCGCGTGACGAGCTTGGCTGCCGCTGTAGTAACGGTTGTTGGCGCGCAGGCCGGAGTTCTTCATGGCGCCGTGGGAGCTGCTGGTGGACACGCGGCTGCAGCAGTAGGAATGACGCAGACACTTACTGTACTCCTTGTGGACCTGCAACACGCAGGCAAAAACACATTTACGACAGCAGCGATGGTCTACATAATAGAGTGGAATATAACTTGCGGGCGGGCTGTCAAGTGACAGGAAGTATATGTATTGCCCCGTCACCTACAACTCTTCTCAAGCTAAGCCATGTGTTTATTTTCCTACGACGCCCGCAGCGGTGTTCAATGCCGGTTAGAGATTTACTGGCTGAAGTATGTGTCAGCAGAAAATGAATCTGAATCATTTATAGCACGGGCGTCAAACTCCGGTTCCTCGAGGGCCACATCCTGCATGTCTTAGATGCCTCCCTCCTCCAACACACCTGATTCAAATGAGCAAGATTGTTCTCAGGTGCCTGCAGAGCTCGCTGATGAGCTGATCATTTGAATCAGGTGTGTTGGAGGAGGGAAACATCCGGCTGGCAACCAGTTCAGGGTGTCCCCCGCCTAGTGCCTGAAGACAGCTGGGATAGGCTCCAGCACGCCCGCGACCCTTGTGAGGATAAGCGGATTAGAAAATGGATGGGTGAATTAGATGTTGGGATAAAAGTAACCTTATGAAACATTTTTCAAGCGGTAGTATAGCCGAATATGTGACTCTATGCTCACAACAACTGCGGGGCTGGGCCTGGCAAGGAAGGGGGCGGGGGGGGGGG